TATTCATAACATTGATTTTTAATTTCCAATTTTGTGGGATTTTAAAAAAATCCCTCTTTTATTTGTGTTTGACAAGCAAGTTACTTCTAAGTGAAAGATTAACAGGTATACCTGTTTTATTAGAATTTGCAATGTCTTTTTTTTAATATTTTTACATCATTCTTCATGTTTGTACATTGTATGCTTTCTCATCTCAGTTATAGTCCCTGTGAAATTCCCACCACCAGTTCACCCGTGTACCATCACCACAGTCCCGTGTGCTCTTCCCACCCCTGTTTTGATCCTTCTCCCTCGCTGCACAATGCCTCTGGCTTATAGTTGCCTGTTGATTTTGATTTTTACTTTATTATAATTACTTTTTTTCCCTGATCACTTATTTGGATCCTCTACATTCCTCCTAGAAGTGAAACCACCTGGTATTTTTTTTTTTCTTTCTGGCTTATTTCACTGAGCATGATTCCTTCCAGCTCCATCCATGTTGCTGTGAATGGCACGAGTTTATCTTTTTTGATTACTGAGTAATATTCCATTGTATATATGTACAACATCTTCTTGATCCAGTTATCTATTTTTGGGCATTTGAGTTGTTTCCATAGCTTACCTATTGCAAATAGTGCTGCTATAAACATAGGGGTGCAGGTGTCCTTTTGAATTAATGTTTTTGTGTCCTTTGGGTAAATCCCTAGCAGTAAAATTGCTGGGTCATATGGAAGCTCCATTTTTAGCAGTTTGAGGAACCTCCACACAGATTTCCATAGTGGTTGGGCCAGTCTGCACTCCCACCAGCAGTGTAGGAGTGTTCCTTTTTCTCCATATCCTCACCAACATTACTTGTTTCTACTTTTTTAATATGTGTCATTCTCAATGGTGTGAGACCATATCCCACTGTGGTTTTGATTTGCATTTCACTGATTACAAGTGATGTTGAACATTTTTTCATATGCCTTTTGGCCAATTACATTTCCTCTTTGGGGAAGTGTCTTTTTAACTCCTCTGCCCATTTTTTGACAGGGTTGTTTACTTTGTTTTTGTTGAGTTTCGTCAGCTCTTTGTAGATCTTTGTGATCAGTCCCTTATCATTAGTACTGTACGCAAAAATTTTCTCCCAATACCAGCTCACATCAAGAAACAAACAAACAAAAAAAATACCTCAAAGGAACAACCTAATCTCCCACCTTAAAGAACTGGAAAAAGAACAGCGACAACAACAACAAAAAAAATCCCAAAAGCCAGTAGAAGAAAGGAAATAATAAAAAGAAAAGCAGATATAAATGAAATAGATGTTAAGAAAACAACCCAAAAGTTGGTTCTTCAAAAAAACAAACAAAATAGACAAACTCCAGCCAGGCTCACAAAGAAAAACCAGGAGAATGCACAAATAAATAGGATCATAAATGAAAGAGGAGACATCACAACAGACACAGCAAAAATAACAAGAATAATCAGAGCTTACTATATGCAACAAGTTCAACAATCTAGAAGAGATGAACAGATTCCTACAACTTTACAATCACCCAAAGCTAGATAAAGAAGATATAGAACACCTAAACAGACCAATTACAAGCAGTGAAATTGAAACAGTAATCAAAACTCCCCCCCCCAAAAAAAAAAGACCAGGACCAGATGGATTTACAAATAAATTCTACCCAACGTTCAGAAATGAACTAGTGTCTAGCCTACACAAACTCTTTCAAAAAATTGAGAAGGAAGGGATAATACCAAACACGTTTCATGAAGCCAACATTACACTAATGCCAAAACCGAACAAGGATATCACAAAAAATTAAAACTATAGGCCAATCTCTCTAATGAACACTGTTACAAAATTCCTCAATAAAATTCTAGCCAACAGAATCAAACAATGCACCAATAATAAGATAATTCACCATGACCAAGTACGATTTATTCCAGGGACACACAAGAATGGTTCAACATCTAAAAATCAATTAATGTAATCCAACACACATCAACAAAAAGAAAAATAAAAACCATACGATCATATCAATTGATGCTGAGAATGCATTCGACAATGTTCAACATCCATTTATGAGTTTGTCAGTCTTAAGACTCTCCCTTCTTCCTGCCTTAGTCACACCACGACTTGTGTTAAAGTTCTGGGATCTGTAGGCTTTGCCACACAAGTTAGCATACCCCTCACAGATATCAGGGAAACACTACACCCATGTTGCAGCTCTGAATACAATGGTGTCATCAAACCAGACTATAACAGAATGATCTGAAAGTCAAATAAGTGTTTGCCTGAATATCCTATAGCCTGTAATCACTGAGCACTACATGGTCAGATGAGGTTGGTTTCTTGCAAATGTCCAAAGAAATTGGCAATGTATATGAAACTGGTTCTAGCGAGAAACCAGTTGTCTTCCAAAGTGTGCCCTCACTAATTCAGAAATTATCATCCATAATTTTGCAATCTGCTGGTGAGGTTTTCCACCATTACAAATTTTTTCTCTCAAGTTTTATTAATTTTTAGTAGTTTATACTAGTATATCATTTTGGGAGTACAACTTCACACCTCTATTTGTACAACACAGGCTTCACTCACCCTCCACCAAAACTCCCATGCCTTCCAGAGTCCATCCTCCCTCCCTCCATTTCCTCTAGTAACCAGTAGATTTTTTCACAGAGTCTAAGAATTGTTTATGCTGAGCTTTGCCAGTTTGTTTTCTGTGGTTATTTATATTTCACAGATAGTTAAACCATCAAGTATCCTTCTTTCATTTTCTGACATATTTCATTTAGCATAACTACTTCATGACTAGACAGTAGTTCATCATGTTTTATTGCTGAGTAGTATTCCATTGAGCATATTCTCTGATTTTTTTTTTATCCAGCTGTCTGTCATTGACACTTAACATTGGTTTCACAACTTGGCTATTATAAGTAATGCTGCTATGAATATAGGACTGCATAAACCTTAAAACATATTAATGTTTCATATTCTCTGGACAGATAACTAGGAGTGCTGTTGTTGGGTCATATGGTATTTCCATTTCTTCATCTTTTTTTTTTCTCGCAAAATCTCCATACTGTTTTTGAGAAGGGCTGCACCAAATTACATTCCCAGTGGATGAGTGCTCCTTTTTCTCTACATCCTCACCAAAATTTGTTGTTTCCAGTCTTTTGGATATATAGATCATTGTCTACAATACCTGAAACCATAAAATACTTAAAAAGAAAACATAGGTATTACATTTCTGTACAATAACTGCAGAGATGTATTTGGGGACACAACTCCCAACAGCTAGGGAAACAAAAGCAAAAATAAACAAATGGGATTGTATCAAACTAGAAGTTTTTATATCTAAAAGAAATGATAAAACAAAAAGGCAACCTACATACTATGAGATGTTTTCCTATAACAGACTGATGAGGGGTTAATTTCTAAAATATATAAAGAATTCAAACAACTCCAAAAAAAAAAAGTAACTCAGTTAAAAACTGGGCAAAACACCTAAATAGATACTTATCCAAAGAAGACATTCAGATGGCCTATAGGCAAGCTACACAATTTGTGCTGATCTCTCCTCTATATGTCCTGTACTGACTTTTTTCCTATACCCTTTAAATAAGCAACCATCATCTAATATACAAAAGAGGTAACTGTGTCTGGTCTTACCATCAGTTGGTGCCCACTACTGCCACCTCTAAGTTTAATGATGGTGAAAAATTTCAAGAACCAGCAATCAAAAAAGACAAACTCATGCCATTCACAGAAACATGGATGGAGCTAGAAGGAATTATGCTCAGTGAAATAAGCCAGAAGGAAAAAGAAAAATATCACATGGTTTCACTCATAGCAGGAATACAGGGGAACCAAATAAGACATCAGTGTAAAAAAAAATAACAGTACAAAACACAACAAAGCAAAAACAGACAATTATGAATCAGAGACATACTGCAGGGGTGGAGGAGGGAGAGGGATCAGGGGGAGGGAGGGAGGAGCACAGGGGACTGAGGTGATGGTGCACGGGTACACTGGGGAAGGAAACTCTATGGGGACTATACCTGAGCAGGTGGGGGAAGCAAATATTGTTTAAAAATTAGCAACGATGTAAAAAATTTTTAAAAATAATTTAAAAATAAATCAGATTTAAGGAAAAAAAATCTTCAAGAAACCTCTGGGTCAAGTCAAGAAAGGACAAATCCTGCCTTCTTCTGCACAAAGTAGGTGCTTGACAGGTGCTTGTTGAATTAAAGACTCTACCCCTAAAGGGACCCCAGCCCCAACAAAAGAAAGGCACCAACAGGGTTTAGACAAGGCATTTGGTAACAAGGCACGGAAACTCAAACACATTCAAGGGAGAAAGGGGACAAATGAAAGGATCAAGGCAAATCTCACGGAGACAAAATACAGAAAGCACACCTGAGCCTCTCAGGTCAGCAAGCGGCTTGCTCTGCCTCTCCCTCCCTCTTTGGAACCACCTGACCTCATGCTGTTGCCTGTGCTGTACTTCATTTCTTCCCCGTCTGCAGTTCCTGGTTCTTTGCTCCATTAGCACTCAGCCCATTCGGGTTCCCCAATAAGAGTGGCCTTGGGCCTCCCCTGGTGGCACAGCAGTTGAGCGCTAGGCTGCGAGGCTGCCCACAGCCTCTGGCAGCTCCGGTTTGATCCCCGGCCGCCAGGCAAGGGTCCCACATGGCGCACAGACCTCTCCTGCCGCGCCCGCTGCTCCCCTCAGCAGTGTACTTCGGTCCTTCTCTGCCTGTTCTGCTCCCTGCTCTGGCTCTGGTGAATTCTCTCGCCCTCCTACACTTCTGACTATACCCAATTCTTGTATAAATAAATAAAATCTTAAAAAAAAAAGAGTGGCCTCTACCTGTTCCCTGAAGAAACCAATGGCTCACCTTGCGGGAAGGTGGAACTAAGATCATAAGGTTGATAACACTCTCATCCAGGACCCTGTAAAAAGGATTAGGATCATTATCGCAAATGATAAACAAAAGCTTGGCTGAGAATTATGACTTGCTCAAGGAATTAGAATTCACAAGAATTCACACATTATTAGTTGTAACACCTTTATTTCAGCATGACTATAAGATTGGATTTCACAGGAATATAACTGATTTATAGGTCTAAATCACAACACCATTGAATCAAAAACACTTTATCCTATACAAAAACTTGGCCTGAGAAATGTTCATTTGAATTTTAATCTAAAGTTTCACATTACAGAACTGTACATTTAAAAAACACCTGTATGACTGAGGGAGACAATGGCTTATAGAACAAGAGAAATCATTCGTAGTAACATCTCACTTATCCTGAGATCACAGGTCTTACAACTGTAGTTGAGCATCAGGAACTAAGTTAGAGGAAGGTAGCTGAGTCATTAAGATAATATCACCAAGTCAATGCAGCCAAATTCATTCATTTTACAGCTTAGAAAAGCCTTTCAAAGCCTCACTCAGATCCTGCTGTTAGTTGACATATAGTATGCAGTTACATGATTTCCCAACCACATCTAAGAGAAAAGTTCCTAGAGGCAGCCAGAGTAATGGTAGAGAGAAATGACAGATAACAGTGAGGGAAAAGAAAAACTATAAAAACCATCGTGGGACTCAAAGAGCAGAGCCATTTGGGACCATTTGGTGTGGGAATTTAACAAACCTTAATAGGATCTGAAAGAATTAAAAACATAAATAATGACCCTGAGAAGATTTCATTATCTTCAATAGGTTCTGTTAGCAAAAGCAGGGAAATGTCTACTAAATTAAGAAAGTATTCCATGTAAATGGTTGAAATAAAGCAAGAGACATTCACTTAAAAGAATAACAGTTGTCTAGTCCATATACCCTAAATGCTGATAAATGGGATGTTACTTTACACATACACTACTTATAAAATATGCAAGGCAATTTTTATAAAAATACAGCACCATTTTTTTCCTCCTATGATTGAAACCATAAAAGCCCCTTCATGGTAAAAGCACTTCAATCATATAGGAATAGCTGAAGTCAGTTTCTCTGCATAAAATTTTATATTGTGCCCTGAGTGATCAGCTGTCCACTGATCAGTGGGTCCAACGGACTGCAAAAACCTTCTTAATGATAAGAGATGCAGAGACCAAAACACCTTCCCCAAATCAATATTTCTCAAAATGTGGTCTACGGAACATCACAACTGAATCTTCTGGTAAACTTGTTTTAAATTGTAGACCCAGCAGAGGCCCAGGAACCTCAGTTTAGCACATCTCCTCAGGGATTTCTGGTACAAGTGGAAGTCTAGAACCAACCTTAGTAAATCATCACTTTGAAGTCCTAGACTCAGCAACCCAGTGTGGAGCAGACAGACCAGGCCTGTGAATTAACACTTTGACACTCTTTTTCCTTAATGCACCCAGTAAGACTATCCTCCTGGCCTTGACATTACTTTCACAGGACTACAACAAAAAAATAAACAAATAAAAGGTGGGCTTCGAAGTGTTTTATCACTCTGGCCAGTAGTAAAAATAAACTAATTTTAAAAAGAACATAAGATCTCTTAGCCCTATATGCGAAGCTTGAAGAAATAAATGTCTACAGGGAGGAGAATACTAAATGAGGAAGAATGTCTACTGCAAATTCAGAGGGTTGTTTGGGAAAGAGGATGAAAATACATCTAAAAGCAATCTTGAAGGAGAGGCAGCATTTCAACTTACATCCAGAATAGGAAAATGCAAATCTATTAAAAATTGGCTTAGATGTTTAGGCTGGTTCTTAACACTCTTGAAGCAGAAGCTGGAAAGTACCGGCAAACATGCTTTGTTTGGCCAGCACAATGTTTTAAACAAGTCTGAATTCAGTGCCAACAAAAAGAATTGAGAAATTTCTTTTTGAAAAATATTCCGTCTTTTTCTGGAAAATTGGAAATTGGAAGAACTAGAAAAACCAGCCACAGCACCACATACTAGAGTTGGGCACCACTACTTACCTCTCAGCTAGCATATCCCCCTGGGGTCTCCCCAGTGTCCCCTCAGCTGTTTCACTCATTAGATCACCTGTTAAACCCTTGTAGGCATTTGCATTAGCCACCCTAGCTTCAAAGAATTAAGGCAAAACTTCAACCTCTCTGTGTTCCACTTTCTATTTCTAACAAAAATTCTTGCTGCAAAGATCCTTTCCTACAGCAGAGGTATTAAGAAAAGACATCAGATAATATCTGCAAATCACCTAGAATTCATCCTTAGCTGCCCACTGGAATTACTGGTGTTTTAAAAAACACTGATGCTCAGATTCCACTCCCAGAGATTCTGAATAGTTACTGGTCTGGGGTGTAACCTGGGGTTATTACATAAAGCACCTCAGGTAGTTCTAACAGACAGCCAAGGCTGAGAATTCCTGTTTTCAGAAAGAAAGAAAGCTGTAACATAAGAAGTTAAACTTAATCCAGTATCACCCTCCAAACATGAATTTCTTGCCTTTCACCTCCATGATAATTCACATCACCTCTTGTTTTTGGAAAGGGGCTATTGTTCCAAAAGTCTACCAGATGCCATTTACAAACTAGGAGATCAAAGTATATTCTGGTTTCTACTATTCATTTTTCTCTCCAATACAATTGGACAATGAAACACTAAGGAAATGAAGAAAAATTATCCTAGTGACAAAACTCAGACAGCACAAACAGCTCCAATACTGTAAGAAGAGGCTCACATGATAGGCTTGTATATAAAAAAAAAAGTACAATTGTTTAGAAATTCATCAATGAAGAGGAAAAATTTTCAAATACTAAAAAAGAATTGTTTTTCCCAAGACTTTCCAGTAATGGCTCAAATTTTATCTAAAGCACATGAATTTCATATTATTGGCTCTCTCCAAGTATTCTATTAGGTAGCATGCATTTGTACTCTGGCTTCTGATCATGAGAAATGCAAACTACTGTCATCAAAATTTAAAACAGGAATACAACATTACATTACATTTGAAAAGTACACTTGCGAAATGGTTTCACACAATAATAAGAGCTCCTTTTTAGTGGACTTCTATGCACTAGATGGCATGTTAGGCACTTTGCATGATCTCCAATCAGTACAACTTCACAAAGTTAATTCTATCACCCCATTTTACAAATTTAAAAAACAGGCTTCAGAAAGATTTAGAATTATGGACATGATCCATGAGCTAATAGGTGTTAGTGTGGATTCAAAGCCATGTCTATCTGTCTGACTCCCAAGCATGTACTTTTCACACTAAACATGTTTAATCACCATGACCCACAGAGAGAACGATCTCTGCCTAATTATTATCCCCATTTTCCCTGTGAAAAACAGAGAAACAGAATGAGTTAGTAGGAGCCAAGATTATAACTCCACCTCATTGTCCACTCCACGTTCTCTTGGAGGTCCCAATTACAGTTTACACATGTCCTTATATAAGCTACACTGAGGCAGTGAGTAGTTTTGGATTGATATCAAATGCTCCTGCTTTTTAAGAATCTTAAACATTACTATAAATACGGCTTCACTGCAATATAGGTCTGGTGCATTCCTGCCTGTCACAGGTCACCTGTGAATCAGGTATCAGGTTCAATGCCTGCATTTGTCCCAGGATCCCCTTATGAATCCTACAGCAACATAAGGGCACAAGCATGCAGTGCTCTCTGGGTTACCAGACTCTCCTTGGATCCCAGCCACCATCACCAGACAATCAGTAGGACATCCTCAAGAAGGGCAGGCATCACCTTCTATGAGGTTTTCCTTTATTTGTAAAATCCTAAAGAGACTATGCCATAAAAATCCAGCTATAAGTTCTCTTCTCCACAAACACTGCTATTTGAGGCAGACCCTCCCGGGAGTGTGTCCATTCAAGTCCTGGCAAGAAGGTCTTCTTTTCTTTAAGCCATCAACACTGCATCATTAAATCTGTATTTCGAAAACTGTCTATAATGTCTTGTGGTGAGAAATGATTCTTGGGCCAAAGTAGACACAGCTCCGCTCCCCTGCAAGAGAAAGCAAACAGACTTTATCACCTAATAAACATGTCTACTAATCAATACTTATTTGCCCTCTTTTCTGAAGCAACTCTTAAGAGTCATTTGAATTCTATCACTATGGATAATTCTTGAAGAAATTGCATTTCAGCTTCCTAATGATCTTGGAACAAAGTAAATACCTTGTTTTATTAAGTCCTACTACCCAGTGAAGCTGATAGAATGGGGAGATAAGATATAGCTAAAACTGAGGTCTTAATCATTCCGATGTGAAAAAACTCTGCTATATTATCAAACCTAACCAAGGCCAGACTCCTGACTGCCAGTGGCAAGAACAAACAGATGTCAGGGCTGTTTGTTTTATTCAAAAATGACAGGAAATCAAAAATCTATCAAATGGATATGTCAGCAGCAATACCCCAAGTATACTGTTTAGTAAGATTTATGCACCTCTCTTTTGGCTCATGACAAAATCACCTTCTAAGCTTTCTAATTTTCAAATGCCCACTAGGATATACAGGAGACAGAGTTCCAAAGAGTACCTTCAGTGCAGAGTACCATTAACAATGGCATCACATTTTATGTGAATTTAAATTATGTAAATTTGACATGAGGTATAATATAAAATATTAACATCTCCTTATGCATGTTTGTGCAAACCTAACAAAATATTTTTTTAAAAATTAAGATGTTTGGGGCCTCCCCAGTGGCGCAGCAGTTGAGCACTGGGCAGCGAAGCTGCCTGCAGCCTCTGCAGCGCTAGTTTGATCCCCGGCCACGGGCGAAGGTCCCACATGGCACACAGACCTCTCCTGCCGCGCCCACTGCTCCCCTCAGCAGTGTACTTCGGTCCTTCTGCCTGTTCCACTCCCCGCTCTGGCTCTGATGAATTCTCTCACCCTCCTGCACTCCTGACTGTACCCAGTGCTTGTATAAATAAATAAATCTTTATTAAGATGCACAGAAGTGTCTATTTAGTTCTCTTGCCCATTTTTTATTAGGTTATTTGTATTCTTTTTGCTGATGTGTATGAATTGTTTGCAGATCTTTGCTATCAGTCCCTTGTCAGATGTATGGTCTGCAAATATCTTCTCCCATTTATCAGGGTGTATTTTTGTTTTAGTGACTGTTTCTTTCACCATGCAGAAACTTTTTCATGTCATGTAGGTCCTTGTTATTTATATTTTCTTTTGTTATCCTTACTGCTGAAGATCAATCCACAAAGACATCTCTGAAGCTAAGCTATGAAAACAACGTTAAAGTGTCCAAATACAGACAAGTGGATCAGAAAGATGTGGTATATATACACAATGGAATACTGCTCAGCTATCAAAAAAGATAAACTCTCACCATTTACAGCAACATTAATGGACCTGGAGATTATGCTAAGCAAATAAGTCAGAAGGAGAAAGACAAACACCGGATGGTGTCACTTATTTGTGGTATATAGATAAACAAAATAAAGGATCAGCTAAAAAAAAAATAAATAAATAAAGGATCAGCTAAAGGAGAAGATCCTTAAAGACTTGATGCCCACTTAACTAAGAAAGGAATTTTTTTTTGGTGGCATTAAAGAAGACACTGAAGAACCTAGGAGATGACTTTTAAGCAGTATGGGAAAACTGAAGTGGTTGAACTCTTGACTGATCAAGGCAGAGGCAAGAACAGAGGCTTTGCTTTTGGAACCTTTGATGACTGGGATTCTGCAGACAAGACTGTCATTCAGAAACACCACACTGTGAATGGCCACCACTGAGAAGTAAGGACGGCCAAAGAGATGGCCAAGGCTTGGTTCTGGAAACTTTGGTGGTGGTTGTGAAGGTGATTTTGGTGGGAATGCTGACCTTGGTAAGGGAGGAAACTTCAGTGGTTGAGGTGGCTTTGGTGGTAGATATGGTGGTGGTGGATATGGTGGCAGTAGGGATGACTACAATAGGTCTGATAATGACAGAAGCAATTTTAGAGGTGGTGGAAGCTACAATGGTTTTAGCAGTTACAATAATCAATCTTCAAATTTTGGAACCACAAGAGGAGGAAACTTTGGAAGCAGTAGCTCTGGTCCCTGTGGTGACAGAGGCTAAAACATTGCCAAACCACGAAAGCAAGGTGGCTGTGGTGGTGCCAGCAGCAGCGGTAGCTATAACTATGGCAATGGCAGAAGGTTTTGATTAACTGTCAGGAAACAAAGCTCAGCGGGAGAGGAGAGCCAGAGAAGTGGCAGGGAAGCTCAGTGGGGACAGGGCCTAGCTGCTATAAAGAAGATGTGATTTAGATAATACTCATGTATATGGGTAAAAAAACCTCGAGGACTGTATTTGTGACTAATTGTATAACAGGTTATTTCAGTTTCTGTTCTGCGCTAAGTGTAAAGCATTCCAATAGAGGGTTTTAATGTAGATTTTTTTTTTTTTCGCATCCATGCTGTTGATTGTTAATTGTAATAGTTTGATCATGACGCTAAATAAATGTTCTTTAAAAAAAATACATATACATTCATTTCACTGACCATTCGACATACCCCTTTCTTGTTTTCCTTCCAGTTCTAATTACAGCTTTAAAACCGTCCTTTCATTATTCTCAGAACAATAAAATTAAGCTTCAATTAATCCTGAACTGCCATCTTGAGGGACAAAATAAAGGTGGGTTGTGCTGAGTAATTTAAACAATTTGAATGTAGTTGTAAGCAGCGGGTAGTAAAAAGCTGCCCTAAAAATCAAAGAACCAAATAAATATAAGTCCTGAGCAGGTTAGAAAACATCTGTGAGACAGGATCCTGCGCATATAACTGGGAAATGTACAGCATGAATAGTTCGGGGAGGCTAATGCAAAATGCTAGGCTTATAAGCATGAAAATATGGCTTTAGTAAATAATTCTGATTTTGCTTTTGGTACTCACTGATGACTCTATTCCATTAAGGGGGCACCACACTGTTCCTTTAGCAGTGTCTCCATTATTCTAATTCCCTATAGAGAGAAAAAAGAAAATTCAAAATGCCATATTTCACAGACAAGCAGTTTTACATTGATCACAGCTCTTTCCCTTCAAGGAATGCAAGACATGGCCATATATTCATTTCAGGAAAGTAGGCTCACAGTCACACCTTACATTTTATAATACTTTACTCAGCAATTTCACATATATTACCACCACATGTGCTCAGAACTCCTCAGAGAGATAGGCCAGCAGAGTTTAGAATCTCCCATTTAACATATGAAAGCAGCCAAGGAGAAATCCAATAGCTTCATGAACTCAGCCTAGCTCCTAAGCAGCAGTGCCAGAGCTAGAATAACAGCAGCAACAGTTTATATTTATTGAACTCTTAAAAACATGCTACACTCATTGCTCAGGCTTTTATGTGCAGCCTTCTGTGATGTGGTACAATACGGACCCCCTCAGCATCCCTCCCGCCGCTGCCAGCAGTCGCCCTCGGCCAAAGGAGCTGCCTTCCCTGAAGCTGTGTCCCCTCTCCAGAGGCAACCGACACTCAGTCACTGTGCACATACTGGTCTAGAGAAGGAGCCCCTCCCCTCATTTCAAGACAAGTATGAAAAGCATCCCTCTCCTTAGCTCCCCACAGGATCAACATGACCTTCTACCTAACCCTGCTTGCCTCACTCCCACGGAAGAGCTGAGCTCTCTCTAGCAACCATTAGCGGGCATTAGCACACACAAATCTCTGAGTGTGGTGTCTTCTGTCTATTCTTGCCCCCATTTTACAGATGAAGACACAAAAACTCAAGAAGATTTAAGTAACTTGCCCAAATGCAGCTTTTAAGTAATAAAGTCAGGGAGAGAACCCAGACTTTCTCTGGTTTCAGAGGTGCCACACGACTTTCTCCCAAAACTCACTCCTCTACTACACATACCACCCTGTCCTACCCACCCACCTTGGCCAGTCAAATTCTACCCTGGAAGAAAGAGGAAAGCAAATAGCCCCTCCTTCCTCCCTCAAGCACAAGTTCGGCTGGATAAACTTTTAGATGGAAAGACTGAATTACGATGTAATTATGAACTTAAGGCAGTCAAAGATGGAGCTACAGGAAAGGGACACATGTTCTCAAGGACTAGAAAACTGTTTAGAAAGAACAGTAAGGGTCAAAGCTAACTTCAAATACAGGTCCCAGATCCCCTGCAGGAAGATTTTGATTTAGGAGCACAGGAGTATGCTCCTTGATTTTCAGGACCAGGCAGAATGAGGAATCAGAGTGAGCCGATGAGAGAAAGGCATTTTTTATTCAGAGTTCGTTCTGAGTCAGAGGATAGAGGGTAATACAGTAAAATGTATTCAGCACCCAAGTATGCTGAACAAAATGTAGTATTTCCTGGATACTTCAGGAAGGCCTTCAGATTCTCCATGGTGACTGGCTATCACTATAAACACTGCCAATGACTTAGAAAGAAGAAACGCCAATTAAAGGATCTTACAGACTGGCAAGGGGCATGGAGTGTGGGCTGAACCAAAACAGCAGAGCACAGGGCCAGCAACACCATGCTCAGACTCATACCTGGGTTCTGGTCACAACTCTGCCATTATTCTGCAGGGTACAGTTGATGGGGAGCAAAATATGCCACTTTGCATGTGGATCGTTTTGAGCCAAGAGCAATTAAGACTCGGCAAATGCATGACAAGCTTTTTTTAGAAAAATTTATTTATATTTATTTTACATCATTGTTCATTTTTAAACAATGTTTGTTTTCTCCTCCCTCTCCCCAGGCGTAGTCCCCATAGAATTTCCTTCACCAATTCACCCATACACCATCATCTCAGTCCCCTGTGCTCCTCCCTCACTCCCTCCGGTTCCTCTCCCTTGCCCTCCCCTGCAGGATGTCTCTGGTTTATAATTGTCTGTCTGTTTTTGTTTTGTTGCATTGTTCTGCATTGTTATTTTTTTCTCCTGATGTCTTATTTGGTTCCCCTATATTCCTGCTATGAGTGAAACCATGTGATATTTTTCTTTTTCCTTCTGACTTATTTCACTGAGCATAATTCCTCCCAGCTCCATCCATGTTGCTGCGAATGGCATGAGTTTATCTTTTTTGATTGCTGAATCGTATTCCACTGTGTATATATACCACATATTCTTGATCCAGTCATCCATTTTTGTGCATTTGGGTTATTTCCAGGTTTTACCTATTATAAATAGTGCTACAATAAATATAGGGGTACAGGTGTTCTTTTGCATCAAAGTTTTTGTGTCCTTTGGGTAGATCCCTAGGAGTGGAATTGCCAGGTCATATGGTAGCTCCATTTTTAGTAGACTGAGGAACCTCCAGACAGCTTTCCATAGTGGTTGGACCAGTTTGCACTCCCACCAGGAGTATAGGAGAGTTCCTTTTTCATCACATCCTCGCCAACATTTGTTGTTGATAGTTGTTTTGATATGTGCCATTCTTATTACTTGCATAAGGTGGTACCTCATTGTGGTTTTGATTTGCATTTCCATGATTAGGAGGGATGTTGAACATTTTTTTATATGCTTGTTGGCCATTTGCATTTCCTCTTTGGAGAAGTGTCTTTTAAGTTCTTCTGCCCATTTCTCGACTGGATTGTTTACTTTGTTCTTGTTGAGTTGTGTGAGTTCTTTGTATATCTTTGTGATCAGTCTCTAATGGAATGCAAAGATGTTTTTCCTAATCAGTGGGGTATCTCTTTGTTTTGGTTAATGTCTCTTTTGCTGTACAGAAGCTTTACAGTTTGATATAATCCCAAGTGTTCATCTTTTCCTTCACTTTCTTTACTTTGGGTGATGAGTCTTTAAAGATATTACTGAGAGGTATGTCTTGTAGTGTTTTACTTATATTTTCTTCCATATATTTTATGGTTTCAGGTCTTCTGTCCAGATCCTTTATCCATTTTGAGTTGATTTTTGTGCATGGTGAGAGGCAGTGGTCTAGTTTCATTCTTTTACATGTGGTTGTCCAGTTTTCCCAGCATCATTTATTGAACAAACTGTCCTTGTTCCATTGCATGTTCTTTGCTCCTCTGTCAAAGATCAGTTGTCCAAATAAGTGTGGCTTTATTTCTGGGCTGTCTATTCAGTTCCATTGGTCTGTGTGTCTGTTTTTGTTCCAGTACCACACTGTTTAAATTATTATGGCTTTGTACTATAGTTTGAAGTTTGGAAGTATGATACCTCCTTTCTCCTTTGTTTTCATCAGTAGGGCTTTGGCTATTCACAGTTTTTTGTGGTTCCTTATGAATTTCATCAGTATTTGTTCTATTTCTTTGAAGAATATCATTGAGATTTTTATTGAACTAGTGTTGAATCTGCAAATTGCTTTTGGTAGGATTGCCATTTTAATAATGTTAATTCTTCCAATCCATGAGCAGGGGATGTCTTTCCATTTCTTCATGTCTTCTTCTATTTCTTTTAACAGTGTTTTATAATTTTCTTTGTATAGGTCCTTCACCTCTTTTGTTAGGTTTATTCCCAAGTATTTGATTTTTTTTGTTTCAATTATAAAAGGGGTGGTTTTCTTGATTTTTTCTTCTTCAGATTGATTGTGTATAGGGAAGGCTACCGATTTCTGTGTCTTGATTTTGTATCCTGCTACTTTACTAAACTGGTTGATTATTTTGATTAATTTTTCTGTGGAGTTTTTACAGTTCTCTATGTATATTATCATATCATGCATGACAAGCTTTTTATCTCTCTCTTAACTGTTTATAAAAGATTTTTGATAGGGGGCTTGTACTAGACAGTGAACTGTTATCAGAGGTAACTTTTTATACTGTAAAGACTTAATACGTATGGCAGGCAAACATTTCTTTACCAGACATTCGCTCTTCTCATCTTTCTGTGAATAGTCTTCCTCTCTTCTGAAGCTCCAGACCCCCAAGCTCCTTCTTAGCTCAGGATGGAGTAGAGTAAAAGCTTTAATTGCTTGACCTTTTTTGAGTCTCATACTTTTTTTTAATAAATCTATTTTTTTTAATTTAAGTAAAAATGGTTTACAACACTGTATATGATTTAGGGGTAAAAAGTCACACCACTTCAAATGTATGTTACCATACCACACCCACAAGGCACCCACAGTCCTCCACAAGTCCTCATTGGATCTCTTTCCCCTTTGCATCCTAACCCTACCTATCCCCTCTAGTAAAGTTTTATATAATTTTATGGAGCTTCCAAACATACAAAATTAAATGTTTTTCTTTTGTTTATCTGTCATTTATCAATTTAATTACTAGACCAGTCAAAACATCTTTCCTAGAAGGGAAGAAAAGCTTTCCTTCCCTATACAGTTTAGTAAATGTCATTCCCCTTTTGAATTTTTTTTTTTTTTGGTAACAAATCTCTGGACAATAATTGAGTGTCCTCCGATTTCAGGGAAAATAAAAACTGCTATGTTAATTCTATTTCAAGCTTCTTTTTGCAGAGTGTACATATAAATCTAGATATGTCTTTAAATCCAAAAAAGCACACTCCTTTCTTAGGAAGTGAGCACAGGTGAACTTTTCCATCCTTCTAAATTAAGAACGCCACCACTTACTGAGCTGAACACTAATTGACATAAGTGAAGACTCTGAGGTTTGCCTTGGGAACTGAGAGACATTATTTATTGAATCAATTATGTTCACAATGTGACAGTTGATTCTTCTTTCCCTTCTTTTCGCACTCTCACACCACTTTAGTCCTTTTAAGCAGAAAAGTTAGAAATAGAAGGTAGAAAATGGGAGCAGAGAGAGACCTACAAAATCAATTAAAAAAAAAAACACCCACCCTCCCGAGGAAGCAAAGCCGTTACCGAGGGTCTCTCTTCAGTAAAGAAGAACCAAATATAAGCCCAATAAATAGAGACCTATCAAATAAAGTTCCAGCATTTAAAAACAGCCCCAGGAGATCAGGCTTAAAGGGGCTAAATTTACACCACTTATCACACAATGATGCCGGAAATGCAGAACAAACATTAAGAGGATCCACCCTTACAGATATGGCTTAAAAGCTTTTTGGACTGACAA